CAAAAGAGTAGAAGAGGTTTTGTATGCATTTAGCAGAACTAGTAGAAGGTCATTTTCTCAGGAGCAGTGCAATTCTTAGCAATATGTTGCACCATCTTGAGAGGCTTACAAAACAATATAAGAGCTCACTTACTGAGGCATTCCTATCAAACAGCTGTTGTGAAAGTGCTTCTCTGCTTACCCTTGGTCTGGCTACAGTTTCTAATGTCTGTTCTGAACTTCAGGACATGACTCGAGCACAATGTAACTGTAGGTCCTGTATGTGAATCATCAGTGATAATAGAACATATTTAGTTTGTACCATAGGCCAATGTTATAAATCCCTCTGTAGGCATACTGTACTGTAAGACAACTCAGTGTTAAATAAATCACACATTTGTCAAGAGCATGTGAATTGACTCCAAAGCAAAATGATGTTCCCGTTCCCACGCCATGTAATATAGCTGTCAGAAGAGGAGGTTATCAACCATAGGGTATGACACATAAAAATGTAAATGGTAATATTGCGGGGAAGGAGGGAGGGAGAGAAATAAGGCTCTTCTCTGTTGCTGTTCCTGCAATGACCTCATCTCTCTTTCACCCTGCTCTTTTGCTCCATTTCATTTCTGTCTCTCTATCTTTCACTCTCTCGTATCAAGCACACACTCCCACAGCGTTTCTCAAGCACACGCTCCCTCATCCTCGGTCACCCTAACCACCTCATTTCTCCAGCCCACCCTCCTCTCCAACTCTCACTCTGTGCGTAATTCAATCATCCCAAGGAGATGGATATCCGTCCCCTAGGAGCGCTTAGGCTCTCCATTTCCTAAAGCGCTTGATCAGATTAATTGATTGTGCCCCCCCCCCCCCCCCCCCTCATCTCTGCGCCCATTCTCCCGACTGAAGCCCAGTGTGGTGGCGGAGGGTGGGAAGAAATCAGGTTTGCATTGATATTTTTATAAAATGGCTTTTCCTTTGGCCCCCCAGACAGACACAGACGTAAAAGGACAAAGGGGAATAGATAAAGTACACGAGCCGGGAGAATGGGGGGGCAGTGGGCAACACGGAAGAGAAGAAGCCTGCAGGAACAGACAGGCAGGATTTATAAAGGAGGACAAAACAACATCCTGGAGCGTACAGCAGACACAGAGCTGAACAGGAGATCAGGGGACAAGATAAAGCAGATATACGATCAATGACATGGAATAAACAGGGCTGTTTAGGAGGTGTACGGCACATGTGAGGTTAGGTTTGTGTGCATGCATCTGTGTACCGTGGTGTTTGGCAGCAGGCCCGCAGAGCACAGCAGAGGGTAGAGATGGGAGAGACCAACTAAGCCCTAGAGGGAACGCAGGAAGACCTCAACTCATCCATTATAACTGAGAGCCAAGCGGCTGCCATGTCTCCTGATTGCTGAGTCCCTATGGAGCTCTCTCTCCTCTCTCTTTTTGTCTCCCCCTCTCTCTCTATCTCTCCCTCTTTGGCACTGGGGATGGCAGTAGATTACGGTGCTGTTCCAGGCCTTTGGCTTCTACGTTATGGCAGGGGCCAAATACACGCACAAAAACACTCACGCTCGTGCACTCACACACACACGCGCGGGAACACAAATACACATAGACAGGGATAGGAACTCGCTCGTCTCTTATCTATCTGCCGCACATGTTCCCCATACGTGTAAAGCTTTTACCTGAGCGCGCCATTACAGCTGAGGCTTTTACCTCAGGAGAGCCAAATTACCTTTCAGATGCAACCTTCCCTTTTTCAACTTGCCCTTGACATTTAGTTCACTTGCATTCCCCCTGTCCTTATAGACTCAAACACACACTATAAACTCACACACAGACAAATGCACAAAGCTGGAGGTCCCTTTGCTCCTAATTATTTTGTCATTTAGGCCTCACACATCTTCCTCCACTGTAACTTTTAGGTTACGCGATAGAGCACACACTTTTGGCAGGATCATACTGTAACCACAAAGAAGAACATGTTCTTTCACGCATTTAATACTTGGCAACTACAGCCTAGCTTTTCATTTGTTTTAGTATAGGACAGGAAGACTGGTTCCATCAACAGGAATATATTCATCCGATAACACCGAGCTTCAGTTCTCAGCTTATTGCCTTCTAACAACAAAACAAATACTGTATAACAATCTTTTACCAACACTAATGAATCCAACGGATGTTTCAAAACCATGAAATACGGTTAGGGCTGCAGAAATAATTGTGGTTAATTCATCATTGATGTTTTCTGTTTCAACAATTAATCATGGACTTTATCAGAACAACCAAGATGCAATATTTTTTAAATTACAATCGATTTAAATGACTCCCTGGTAAAGGAATTGGTTGGTATCAGCTGATCCGATTGAGAATCAACAGAAAAACTCTGCAGATATACTGTATGCAACACTGCTCACACAAGCCAATTCTACAGTGCCTGCCCAGCGTATAATGCTGGGGAGCTTTATTTATTGAGAGGCTCTTACAGAAAGCATTTAGCGAGCCAAATAGGCTGAGATATACTTTCCAGGACTAGTGAATGTTGGCTTTACATTTTACAAGTAGCAATACAAAGGATTCCAAACCTCAACATGCTTTTTGCTTTGCTTTCATTTTCCTTAGTTTTTCTGCTCCATGGCAAGGCAGGTTTATTTCTACAGCACATTTCCACACAAGGCAATTCAATGCGCTCCATGCGTAAATAACCCCAAATATCTTTCAAGCCGATATGACGCGTTAGAGCCGATTTGCAGAATCAAAACACTAATTTTCCAAGAGTAAATTAACGCAAGTTCAACAAATCAGTTTTTAGTATGTATACACATGCACGTATACTGTATCTATGTAGGTTTCCTTTCACAACGGTTTGTTTGCAATCTTACAAAAAGACGCGTACTGTATTTTTTGTATGTATAAGTTCATGTGCAATGCACCATGGTACATGCAGGAACTGGCGAGAGCTTTATCTGACAACATGGTACACGCTGATGAATTTATTGATCGATGGACCACAATAACATTACTATTACTGATAGGACATCAGCATAAAAAGAGCTGAAGGAACAGAAATGACTTTAGATGTAGGTCAACCGGGGTGACATTCTGCATCTTTAAACCCACCTTGTCCTACCTATGCAGAAGCTGTCTCTTTATACTGTGTCACATGTTGTAGTTCACGTTTATGTGGGTAAGAGATTAATCATAGTGAATTCATTTCCGTTATAATACGAACAGTGTATCAGAACAGCCTAAACGGACAAGAGGACTGGGTGCAACTGTACAACAGAGCACAGTTCCGACATTGGAACAGACCTGTTTGTGTTTTCATGTTTGCCTGGGCTGCAGTGCAGAGGTAAACATGTACAGACAGAATCTCTGTAGGAGGGGCGCTGAACTCCTGACCTGAATACAGATTCATCAATACAGACACTCACACTGATAGAAATACAGTACACACACAAACACCACATGCATGCACACTGTATGCTTGAGTACTCAGCCCACAAACTAAATCAACACACTATTTATTTTTCTTTCCGAAAGAGTCTCTCTTTCTTACTTTCCCGAGACTTTTTTATTTGCTAGGGGGCTGAGCTCTCAGACTTGGATTGATCCGGAGCTACCGTCTTGAACTTGTGCCCCGAGGGCAGCTCAGTGCAAACACGCCGCAGCCCCTCTCCACTTACTCCGATCATGGGTACACTCTCTGTTACACTACACCTACATTTAATCACACACCACAGATACACAAAGCAGGTGCTACTGCTACCTTAAGTGCTCAAATCAAACAGAAGGCTGATAAAGACTGACTTTAAGGGAACACTAATCACAAAGGAAAATATATCGCCTCCAACACAGACACAACTTTAAAAAAAAAAAAAGACATTTGCTCATAGTCAGTGCAAGTAATCACAATAGACTCGAGCAATAAATTCTTCTTTTGAGGAGGATTTTAGAATGAGCATGTGTATAATTATTGGGGGGAAATCAATAAGCATAACAGCTGGGCTGGAGATGACAGCAACAATTTCATACACCACATCCCAACTGCTGAGTGCTTTTTCATGGACAGAACACAAAAGAAATCCATTATATTTTTGCAAACGAAAAGATTCATTTGAACATTTTACATAAATAATTCATACAAAGAGAGCTTTTACCGTGGTTTCACCTGAAGACAGACAGCTAACTAGCGGGAAAGCTCACCCACCCACCCACCCATTTCCTTCTCTCTTTGAAGTAGGAGAAACGGGAGGAGAAGTGTATAATTTGTTTGATTCATTTATCGTTGCTTACTATGAATACATGTCATTAAGAGTGGTTGCTGCACAGCAGTTGTGAAGTTATAAAATAGCTGGCAGCATAGTGGGGGCTGAAATAAAGCAACATTATAGGAATGCATTCATCCCACACACACTGTCAGGAGTCTAATGGCTCTGTGGAGGCTTGCGCATTGAAACACACACACATGCAGTACACACAAATACATACAATTAGTCTCTTTGTTTGGCTGCGCCTGCCCTGAGTTCCTATAGAGGTTGTGATTGACGGATTCTGTGATTGGGGCTTTGAGACAGGTTGAGCCTTCAAGTGAGCTAATCTACACTGCCTCCTACAGGAGAGCAGGCCACATTGGACCGGTGAATGTGTGAGAGGCTGTCATCATCACCTTCAGTCGGCTGACAATGATGACTATAATTGGTGTTTGCACAACTCCTGTTTGAGTCTTCTATTCAACCACCATGACTGCTTGACAGCAATGGGGGGGGGGGGGGGGGACGACTACTGTGTGTGTAGTTGTAAATAAAACAATTTTCTTCATTGCCTGATTGATGTTTTCTTCTTCTTTGCCAGCTCATAGATCTGTATTTTTGTGTTATTAAGAGGAACTTCCCCCATTCACATTCTGACACACAACGTTCCCTGGTGGCGAATGTTGCACCTTAGACTTTTTGCTAATGGCGTAGGAAAACCACAGGCATTAGTCAAGTCTTGGGAAATGGGAAGCGTTCCTACCTTCCATGCAATGCGGTTGCCTTTGGTGTCATGCTCCAGTGCCATCGGGAACTCCCCGCGCTCGTAGAACTTGCGAAAGGTGGTTGGTTTGGGAGGGCGCTCTCGGAAAGCCCCTGCAGCCGGGGGACCCACCACCTGCTCAGACACAAAGGAGAAAATGGGGGAAATGAAGAGAAAGGAGCAAAACGGAGACAAAAACTGAATGAGGCATACACAGCAAGTGAGAGTGTTGTTTTATTAAATCAGAATTGACTGTGTTTTCTCCTACTAGAATAGAATCACTCCCACTGCCTCTTCTTTAAAGTAATTCAGGGAGACACATGTGCCTGCTCCCCTGCTCCTCTAAGGAGAGCAAAACACAGATAGTGTGTGATTGTGTGTGGGCTTGTGTGTGTGTGTGAGTGTGTGTGTGTTGGCCCTGTAGCCAGAGGCACTGCAAGAGGCATTGTTAGGATCATCTTTTTCTCTGCCTCCATATTGGATATGTGCTATTACTGCGCCCCTGAAAGCCAATGGAACTCCTATCACATCAGCCACAGTGTCTGCTGCTATTGTTATGGGGGCCATTGGTGGCAGTAGCCTTACAACGGTCGTAAGTTAAGGTAACACATTGTAGTAGAAAGGGGAGTGGAGATTTTAAGATTACAAAATAGCATGTGTCTTCTAAAGGACAAAATAGTGGTATTCAATTTTATAAAACATGTTTTTTTAAAGAGATAGTGAGGTTTTTCAGGTGGGTTGTTTAAGGTGATATCTACAGTCAGTGAATTACCTACGGTAGATGGCACAGGAACACCTGCTTGGACGAGTAAAGGCATGCGAGCAAAGCAATGTACTTCTGTGGAAGGGGGCAGCAGATAATGTATTTTAGACACCATCAAAAAAAGGTCCACAGAGAAAAAATCAATATGAGTGAAGTGTGCACTTTATTTAGAATATTTTCACTGCTTTACCGTCAGAAATCCTCTTCCGATGGGGGAGTGAATACGTTATCAATGCTCTTGCCAAAACCATGAAACAACAACACAATCTAACTTACTGATGGAGGCAGCAGTACACCAGCAACCCCTGTCTTCTGTGAGGATACATTTCCCATCAGAAAAGGCAGTTTGCTGGCAAGAAATGGCGAATTTTAACAATTTTTTTTTAGGTTTGCCTTTCTTTTAGGTCAGTGCATAGCTTAGCTTTGCTGCGCGTACTGCTGTCTTATTCTCAAAACTGGGGGCTTGCCAAGCGTAATTTACTGCTCGCAATAAATTGACTACTGATAAGTACCTCATGCAACCCAACTTCAAAACCTGCAAAATGTTCCTTTCATCTTTGAATGTAAAGATTGTGTGTACAAAAAAAAATCACACAATATTTAATAGCCTCGAAAGGAGCGATCATCCCGAAATACCTTCAACGAAACACTCCTTCAAGGAAGCGACCTCATCGAGGACCCAATGGGGGAGATTGTACAAGTGGGAGCCACTCATGTACTTGAGGAATATGGATTTAGTTGATTGAAAACATTAGAGCCTTGCAGCAGCATGTTGTAGTGGACGAATGACAGAATGTTGGAGCCAATCGTTTCCCTGTCAGCGTCCCTTGTGTGCGTCCCTCGCCATCTGTGTCGCTCTGCCACATGACTGGCAGATGTGTTGCTGTCATTAATCCTCAGATTACCACCCATTGAGAAAGAGAATTTAGCCTCAGCAGCCCACAGGCAGAGCAGAGCGAGACTGGGATGTGTTATCTTTGGCGGCCACAGGACTGTCTGATATTGGTTTGCATGTTGAGAGAATGGGTTTTAGTTTATTACTACTCAACACTAGATTGGATTTCCATGTTACATCATTCACTAGTGTTGCCTGTTTGTTGCATAATTCAAAAACAAAATAGATAGAAAGCCTCGAACCACAGATGAAGCTCGGTTTAAACCGCCACTCAGGAATGATGCAACATGGTACAACATTTTTAGGTTACACGTGTGCCGTTGTGTCGCTGGTGCCGTGTCTGAACTCGAGAGAAAACAAGAAGAAAGGGGAAACCATCACGAGGGCTCTGAGTGAGTGTCTCAGAGCACTCAATGCATTTAAACGGCTCTAATGCACCGTGGGATTGTGGCGCAGTCGTTTCAAATGAATCTGTTTGGAGCATTTGTTTACCATGCCAGAGAATGCTGAATAATATTATGCTGAATTAATAGGGACAAGTTTGTATACCTGCAGGAGAGAGACTACAGTACCTTAACAAAATGCCTGTGACTAACAGTGCATGCAAAACAAGAGGAAAGGCACTTTTCTGTATCGCCTGCAGTTAGCTTACAACAAATTATTCATGATATCATGCATGCCTTTTACAGTCTTTCAAGTGCTGTTTTCTTTTAACAATCATTTTGCAACGTTTTTTTACAATTAGAGCAAGTAAAAGTTCAAACACAAATTGTTTAGTAAAACCATGTAAACTGTGCACTTCTGTAAAAGGAAGATTGCTTCCAGTTTTTCGTGTATTACTTTTTAATCAGTTTATCAATAATCGCTTGAATACGTTTACTTAGCATTGTAATGAACAGAAAAGTGTCAGCTTGTTAAAATACTGTTCTGTCTCATGATATAAAGCGCAAAGTATAAGTTATTACAAAAATCTAATACTTTTGGACGTTTCATTTAGACACTAACTGTTTTTCGACTCTGTGTCTGTTCCATTGCTTTCACTGCAGGAGTTGTTTGGCAGCCCTAGCTGTGGAAGTAGGAAGCTGTAAAGCGTGCAAGATCAGTGCTGCTCCAGCCTACAGGAGTGACAAAGCCCTCACATCCAGGTAGCTACGACGCTGGTTGAGCCATGCTGCACAGGGAGGCTAAAAATAGCTCAGACTGGGCAGCAAGGAGAGAATGAACCCAGACTGCTTTGACTGGCTGAGTAGCTTTTATGTTCCGAAATGATGACGCTGCACTAGGGCTGCACAATTTGGGGAAATAATCGAATTGCGATTTTTCTGACAGATATTGCGATTGCGATTCGATTTGCGATATTTGTTTTTAAGCGACCCAACGGAAGTTTATTGTAAAATGCGGCCATATCTCCGGCTAGGAAGGTCGTATCAACGTGCTCCCGTCTCTAGCACCCCCGCAGCCCGAGCTACGAGTGAAAGAACTAAACTTACATCAGGGTTGCCAACTTTGGGTACCTGGCTGGAGTGAGATTTTGATATCATGGGTTTAATTACACATGACTGCTATCGTGTCAGTAGGACCTTAGCATAGGATATATATACAATATATACAAATACACAATATTGGACACAGACTATAAAGGGCACAACGTTTCATTCACTAATGAAAGTCAAACACATGTTTGTTTCCACTGTTTTATTGTGTGCATAGGCCTGTCGCGATAAGCAATTAATTGACTTATCGTACGATAAATAAAAATGAACTTGATAACTTTTCTGACCTCGATAAATTGCCATTTACATGAGGATGTGACTAGCAGTTTGAAAGGATGTACTTGAATTATTATTATATATTATTATCATTATGTCAGTGGTCTAAAATGGTCATACAACGGTGCCGACAATATTATCGTTTATCGCAATAATTTCCGGGAAAATGTATCCAACAAAATTAATTATCGTGAGAGGCCTATACATGAAACACACAGACACAAACAAATCTACAGACTTACTCCAAACTGCCAAATATATTAATTAACACACTCATTCTCATATACTCTTTGACTCTATTTTGGCCTCGTAGAATAATAAGCAGCAGACTTTTACTTTTTTATCATTTCTACTGGATCTTAGATCTAGGCATGCGCAATACGGGTCGGGGATTGACCAACCGACTCCCACTGCTCTGCTGTCTGTTAACGTTGTTAAGAGTGGTGGGGGCGGGGAGGGAGCGGATCGACAGCTTGAGCAGCTGTCAACTCAACATTGTAAATAACCAACCAAAAACGATCGCCGGTTCATCTTGTTTTTGGCGTGAGAATAGTTTGGGCAGCGTGAGAGCGTGAGGTTGAGAGTGAAAGCGTGTGTCACACGCCAGATGCGTGAGAGTTGGCAACCCTGCTTACATGAAACTTCCGTTGGGTTGCTTTAAAGTCAAGCTTCAGTTTAAGATTCACCCTGTAATAGATGTAAAACATGTGATGGAGCATTACTAACCTGACTCAGATGGTTTGTTTCACCAAACCATCTAGGAAAGCTCCATTGGAAGCCATTTGGAAAAGTATTTCAAAAATACTTGGCAGGTGATTGGATCAATCTGTGTATCACCTACTATCATGGGCAACTTCTGATTGGTTAACAATGACTGGTACATGTGGAGCACAGCACTTCTGATTGGTGTGGATGACTGTACACAAGAAGAAGAAGAAGAAATCTCGAAAAAAAGAGAAAATCGCAGGCTTTGCGATTTGATAATTGCATTATTTAAAATCGCGATTTCGACTTAAAATCGATTAATCGTTCAGCCCTACGCTGCACTCACTTCCATGGCGTGTGCTCGTGGCTGAGGCGTTAAAACTTTACAGCTTTTTTGGCAATTATCATAACTGGCACGCAACCCATATTAACAGCCGGAAGGGAACAGATACATCCATGCACCATGGCAGACCTTTTCCTTGATAGTGATGTGGGCTGCCGTTCCTAGCAGCTTAAGGAGACCTGTTATAGAAATAGCATTGAGGAAAGATTATCACCTGCTGGCTTCCTGATGCCATTCCAATAATCTGTCTGCTTTGATTCTGCCATTTATGACATTTGGGTCTAAAGCTCCTGCATGCAGAGACAAAACACCATTCATGAATCCCTTAGTGATAGCTATAGGCGCTAACCCAGTTGGTCTAAAATAAACTAGTGTTTTTGCAATTTTGTGTCCCTTTCTGAGAGGCTAGATGACCTTGTGGGCAGGACATGGCAGTACAGATAGAAGAACAGAGCGTTCTCAATTCTACGAGGGAAACATATTGTCTCATTCATTATAGTTGCAGTTTTAAACATGTGGTCAATGTTGAAAAAAATTGTAACTAAAGAAATAAACTGCAACCTTAGTTATGATTAGGGGGGAAAATCATCTAAGTTGTCTCTTAAAATAAGTGTGATTTTTACATAAAGGTGGTGTGTTTTCAGATGAACCAAGGGCGGC